TCAAGCTAATGGCGATGGCCTCCACCTACTGGCGATGGCCTCCACCTAATAGCCATGGCCTCCACTTGATAGCGATGGCCTCCACCTAATGGCGATGGCCCATGGCCTCCAACCTTATATTGAATTTCTTCATGCTTTCAGGCCAACACTTGGAATGCACATGTTGAACCCATGCCCTTGGAGCGTTCGAGTCTGGCAATACACATGTTTGGTTACACATCAAACACGTCTCAGCTGAATCAGTTGCCACGGTGCTGGTAGTACAAAGGTCTGATGGCCTGAGATTGGAGACCGTATGCTTAGCCTTGCCCAACACCATTGGCTATCAACCGCCACTCATAGGGGCCATGGTCTGTAGAAAACCTGTCTTGTGTCTAGTGGGTGGCATTCGGTCAAGAACCTCAGCATCATCCTTTCTTAAGAGTCTTACATTGTTGGCGGAAGTGGCTAAGAAACCACATGGAACTTCTAAAAAAAGACATTGGCAACCATCTTGCAAATGAGGAAGGGGAGCTTTCTCTGAAAAGTGCAGAAGTTCCTTCCTTGGAGTTTGGATGGAAGGAAGTGGCAAGGATGGACACGTCTGAGGCCCAGGCCGTCTTCGAAAAAGGACTGAAAGCAAGATTGCTTCAAGGCCTTTCCTACTCAGGTAACTCCACGATGCAAATATCAACTGTTTGCAGTTCTGTTTGCATCTGACAACTGCGTCTAAGTTGTGACATGCTCGTTGTCATGACGTTCAAGGAGGCCTAAGCAATATTGCCTTGATGAAGTGAAGCCGCGGAAAAGTACAAACTGCAGTAGGTCAATCGTGATGAAATTGGTGCACAATTCTTAGCCGTTGCAAATAAACACTGAGCGCTGTACACCCTCAAAACATCATGCAGGAGTGTGGCTCGCAAACTCCCAACTTTGATTTTGCTTGTAAAAACATCTAGACCCTTCACATTAAGCTTTGGATAACCTTTCAACGCTAAATCGAATGGCTCGGTAGGCAACGTGATCACCAGGTTGATGCTTGTTGACTCTAATCACTCCGATACAGTACATGAAGTCACTGTCTACGGCTATGCAAGGTGGAACGAGCAAACAATGAAAACATATGAAAACAATAGCCACCGGACCGTGGCTTCTGGGGCCGAATCGTCAAGTATGAAGGGGTGCATTTGCGTGGGGACTCAGTTTCTTGATCCAAATAGTCTAAATTCACAAATCTGCAAGGGATAAAATGTTTCTTTAAAGAGAGTGACGCTCTGGAGCTAAGCACGGTAAAGCAGTTTGGGGGGTCCTGCACTTGGCGCGCGGTTGTTGCAAACAATTGTGCAAGGTGCCAGTGAAGAACTGTGCAGTACAAACTGCTCAAAATAAAACAAAAACATATGCTATATCATATGCGCATACATACAGCACACACAATATTTGTCTTCTTCCTCGCTGAACATTGAAAGGTTTTGGCCGCCAAATGTGCTATACTTATATATATATATATACGCCATTATACGCCTGCATAGTCTGTCGTTCTTGCCTCGTAGCACTCTGCGTATGGTGGAGTGGGTCTACCAAACCAAGTGATGATCCAATCTACTTCAGGTAAGCCATATGCCCCAGAACAAATTTGCAAATTGCGTCTTTTACCATCCTTTACAACTTTACATCTAAATAGAAATTCAGTTGGAATTGCCTGTGGTGGGGCAGGCACCCGGTCTATCACTAGCGCACTGAGATCTTGCCCCATCCCCTGGTCGTTGAACTACATCGGTGAGGCAAGCCCACACCGAGTGAAACTGAAACCCTACGACCAAGGCTGATGGCCTAGGGCTAAAACATTGCAGTTGCTCAAGTTCCTGTCGACATGTTGAACATGAACTGAATGTATTGCACTTGCACATGAAAACAAACAAACTCTAAACACATGCCAATCTTGAAAGGGATGCTCCTGCTTTTGCACCTGCAGCTAAAAAAACTTGAACCCCAAAGAGATGCGACAAAACGTTAAAGACATTGTTACGTGTGTTGCCTTTTTCTTGAATTGCATGTTCTGCCATCCTCCGCAGGATTTCACGATGGATACCCGGCAGTTTCACCCTCACCCAGCCAGGCCTCGGGCACGCATGGCATACTCAGGGTGGACTTATGGTGATTCTTTATGGGTGAATTCGGTGAAACAAGTACAACTTGTCCACATGTTAAAAAAGCAACTGTTTTTGGTCAACAGTCTTGAAAACATGATCATCGGATCAACCGGTTGCCGAACATTTTATAGCTTTTCATGTTGAACAGTCCAGAATTCAGCAAGAGTGTTCTCTGATCTTCTCCATCAGGGTGTGCCCCGTGTCCTGGGCCACCTGGCAGCCCACTGTTCAGAGACCCCAAGTGCCACCTCTTTGCCGGCTGAGGACTTGTATTTGAACCTGCGCGCCGATCATTGGAAACTCGATTCGGTGGTGATGGTTGTGATTCTGGGTATCCTCCTTCTACATATATTTGTCTACTCCTGAAAAGGACGTGTCAATATGTGTCCATAATTTCACGTTCAAGTAGCCTCTTGAGCCAGCTGCTCCTAACGAAATGTGCATCCAATGAAATGTGCAAAAAAAAGCATCACATGCAGTGTCCCACACTGACAAAAATACGTGATTTGCAAGATGGCTGCCAGCAGCCAGCACCAAGACGTCCATATCATAAGCTCATGAGCCTAATGATTGTAACATCATAAAATGCAATAACTATGCATAAATATGCTAGCCGTGTCAAAATGCTCTCTAATCGATCCCCGACCTCTTTCCTTCCGCCCATATGTCCAAAGTCCACTTGTCATTTTCAATGGACCTGGTGAAAGATGCGAAAAGCGCTTGAAGCTGCAAGAGCGAACAATCTAAACATGTCCAAATACATGACCTTCATGGTAACAGGATGTTTGTATGTGTATATATATATATTAATATATATATATTATATTGTACTTCGCACACACACACACAATACACAGACATACAGCAAAGGGAACTTCCAGACTCTCAAAGGAATTGCACCAGTGTTGAGCGCTTTAAAAATTAATGTCTTGATCTGCATCTCCAGGTCGAGGACCAAGACTTCATGGTCCCACTGACATCCTCAGGTGTTTGACGTGCCATGTAGGAACAGCTCACCGGCATCCTTTGCAGCAGTATTTGCTGAATCTTGGGACGAGCCTACGAATGTGTCGTGGGATACTAGACCACCTGGAAGCCTCCAACCTCACAGAGCCCACAGATCGAAAACTCTCGGTCAAGTCGAAAAGGCGGTTTTCAATATCCTGGGGCAGTTTCCAAATAGAGAAGTCGGCGAGGAGATGCAGCTCCCATCTACCAATCATCTACCTCCACTAGCTTCATCCTGCAGTTCTACTCATTCAAGCAGTGAGGGACAACTTCAGACCGTAGACCAGCAGGTTTACGACAAATAACTCAAGCGCGAAACTCACAAACACTGCTATTCAATACTGCTTTGAACAACATGACCCATCACAAAAGGCCAAGGACTCTTCAACTGCCCATCAGGTGCATGCCAGACGCTTACCGTACAAAGACCCCCTTTGCAGCAAAGTCACCACCTCGAAGGCATCTGCCACTGTGACCTGTCCAAGTCTTTCGACTGTGAAAAGGTCCCTGCTAAGCCAGTCACTTTGGGTCAGTCACCTGACCTCCTTTCACGTTTTCTTGCTTGGTGGGCAACTGGCGTGTCCGCTTGACAGCCTCAAAAGACTTCAACCATTTCACATTCTGCCCATCTATGGTCTATGCCCATATCCAAATATTTAAACCACAAAATGATCAAACATAGCTAGCTGGAATCCTTTGGCAATTTCCAACCTCCCCGCCACACCTTCGTGGTTTTGGCCGCATCCAAGACAGCAGCACGGAAGTCCCGGAGGGCTGGAGCTCCTTCGCTGTACCTTGAGAGGTTGGAAGCTGTGGAGGAAGTGCGTCTTGTGGTTGTAGGAATCCTTTTTTTCTCAGCTCGCGGTCCAGTCTCAGCGAATGCGGCACCTGAGTGGGGTTGCACTCTGAAGCGTCAAAGTGGTTGGCTTGAATGCCACCAACTTGCTAAGCCCCGGCACCCCAACGTCCTGCCTCTAGGCTTCGATTCAGTTTGGGGCCTCGGTCTGAACTGCAAACAAGCTCGTTAGGTTTGAGGCCATCGCTCTTAGGTTGGAGGCCATTGCTAATAAAGACAAAGAAACAAGAAAAGGAAAAAAAACTCGAAGGAACTCTCAAGTTCTTGGAGGTGCCACCTCGCCCAGAAAGCACATCAGGCCCAAGCACTTGCGTTTGTGAAGGTGCGGCTGACACCGCCTTGGCGATCAGGAAGCCAGCATGTGAGAAAATGAACACATCCAACAAGAGTTCCTTCAAAACCCTTGTCCACTCATCTACAAAGAATTCTACATCCACATGTCCTGATTTCAAAATCAAGGGCTCATTGCTTAACGCAGCAGTCATACATATTTCATTTTAGGCTAGGTGTGTCATTCATGTGAGAAGTCGGAGCGATGACAATAGGAAAATCGGTCTACACTCGCCTAGAGTCTAGTCTAGCTGAGTCTAGCTCATATTCAAACAACGTCTGTTAGCTTTCTTTCAAATTTGATGGAAACATCATGGCTGCAAAACGCTCCAGTAGTATCGCTCCAGTTATGTCAAAGACACACAAAAAGGGATTGGGCAGCCGCAGGATATCAAGAACGGCTAGCTCTGAAGATGTGGTCATCCAAGTGGAGGCGCCCAACTATTCAATATTGACCTGCCATACTCCAAGAATGCTATGACAATCTGCGTAACACAAGGGGATGGGTTCCTCATGGCTCTGAACGAAAAGCTCTCAAAGCCTTAAAGCGGTTGGGGTCCCAACTGAAGTGCATGTTGCACCTGGCCTCTGGGTCACCTGCAGCATGCAAAGTCACCAGATGTGTGCAGGGTTCTTTGCCAGCGGTGAACTCTTCCGACCCAAGACGCTTTATCCAGCTTCTATCAACCACTGGTCCGACGGCCTTTTGGATTGGCCTTTGGGATTTCTAGAAAAACACTCTTTTTTGCATTAAATTAACAAACAACAGATTACTGAAGATGAAGCAGAAGAAGAAGAAGAAGAAGACGCATGAGAAGCAGAACCAAAAGAGGAAGCAGAAGAAAGGAGCAAAACAATGAGAAGCACATTGGAGCACTGAACGTACTGAAGAGACTACTCTCGATTTCCGTAGCAAGAACCTGCCATGCCGGTCTACCCAAACCAAAAAGGGCACATGGCGAGCAATCTGGCACCCACTCACCTGAGCAGACTGAGAGCCCAAGGGGCGTGCCTGGCAAGGGCCACCGAGCAAACGGGAAAACTATGGCACGTGGGACTTCCAAGCCTGTGCACCAAAACCTTGGATTTTACAGACTATGCAAGCTGTTGCGCAAGGTAGAGATAGCGAGACAGCGAAACTGAAATAGAGACGATATTAAATTAGGGTGAAGCAAGAGGAAACAATGTACCTCTGTATAATATATATATATACACAGTACTTGAGTACTTGTATACTGTATACTTGTTGAGCTCTGGTTTGTCCAGAATCCTGACAGCTGACAGCATCGCTGTGTTTCATCCTGACGAATAGCTTGGATAGCTCTGTTGGTATTTCAACATATGTCAACCTGTTTCGAACCTGGATGCTTTCGGTTCCAAGTTCCAAGTTCCAAGACAGTTGTTCTAAGAGTGGTCACTGATTTAGTTAATTACATTGCTTTTAGTACTTCCACAAATGCTTATGTACACAATGTTTGTATTTTTATGTATTTTACGCTCCAAAAAATAAAAATAAAAATATACATATATATATATATATCTACAACGCTGAACAAGAGCTGCCCTTCAACTTTGACGGGACCTTTAAACAAGGTTCGCCTGGGCACGTGGTACATCCGCTATGGCCAGTGGCGATGCCTGTCGGACACAACTCTGTTTGGCAGGAGTCAACTTGCGCCATTCGGGACCCGTGTTGCTAGTCGACCACCCAACAAAAGTGCAATGATCGAAGGACTTTGTTCACAATCAAGACTACCTGCTGAGTTGGAATCATGGTATCAATAGGAACATCTTACTCAACACACAGATTGAACATCTACTTAGTGCCAAGTCTAACTTCCTTCATCCCTGAGAGTGTGAAGGCACGAGACCTTCTACAGTATATAATTCCGATGAAAACTATCGTCACTGGGCTTTCACATTCTGTTCCCCCATCACTGAGGGAGATCCCCGGCGCGGTCAAAGACCGCTTGCCAAACCATGTTGTGAATCCAATCTGCTACCCGGGCGGATATATCTTCTCAGTCTCAACATGTGACCAGCCTGGTGCTCCTGTGCCACGAGCTGCCGCCGGTCGTTCTTCGAACGACACCTGGGGCAAGTCGGCGGAGGAAATCTTTGATAGTGGATCAATCTCCTTGAGTTCCAACCAAGAATACCTTATTCATATGAATTCGATATGCAAGACCAAGAGCGTTGAATTCCCTCATTGATGAGTCGCAGGACTTTGGCCATCCATGGTGTTCGGTAGGTACCGCTGCACTAAGTCTTGAACAGCCGGAGGCTGCGTAGGATTGCCTGTGGCGGCGTCGGCAAGATGTAAGTGCCCCTTGCAAAATCTTGATGACGCTTCAGGCGCGTGTATGAAATGATGTCTAACTGCCCTCTTGTGCCGATTGTGGCATGCATTTTACCTTATATTGTTGTCACTTTATATCATTTGATGTCATTTGGATCTCAGGTCTTTTTTGGTCCTTTGGCTTTACCCCAATGCGGCAGTTCGGCGCCTGCTCCATCTTGGCATAGACGGCTTTGCTGGTGATGTCAGTCCCATGATTCAATTCCAATCCTGCCAACCGCACATTCATGGAACACAACCAAATATAAAATTACTTCTTTGAATAATGTGAGCAACTACTGACAAAGGCTATCACATGATATCACTACATAGACATGTCTGCTTTCAATAAGTCCGACAAAGCCAAGCTCTCCAACAGACAGTGCATGGCAGGGCAAATGTGCCTTCCAAGGACACATGCACTCCACCTTGGCCAAGTTGGATTATAGCCATTTAAAGGGGGAGTCACACAATCACAACAAAACACAATCCAGATTTATTCGCGAAGGAGAATCTACTCCACAAAAATCATTCCTCAATGCCAAAATCTCTTTGGGGCTCAAACATGCAGCCTGTTCCTCGTGCATCTCCCGGATGCTGGGCGCAAAGTCTTCTGGCCTTGCAATACGACGACAGAATTACTCCCGGGGTTCTGGAAAAATGGCGTCCTGTCAGGCCGGGCTCCACACAGTGAATCAGCACCCACCACGTGGTCCTTCCAACAGCAAAGCGTTGGAGAAAGCAGTCGAATGGCCTCATGGATCATTTAACATTATTTAAGAAAGTCTTGGGAGAAAAAGAGGTAAATGGGACAAAGATGGACAATGTGCTTCTCTACTCTGCCATCAATGGGATGTGATTGATGAGACTGTTCCTTCCTTCAGAGCAGCCTCCTCTTTCAAACACTTTGGTGTATTGATGAGGTATATACAAAATGAAATAGCCGACGCATTCTATGATAGCCATGGCCAGTGGATCACAAGGAGACTCAACCGGTTCATGTGTCAATGTGTCATGTGCCCCTTCCAAAGTCCTGCAATGATGCACGGTGCAGGACCACCACTGCAACAGCATCTTCAATCTGCACACACCTAGAACCACCCATGGAAATGCGTGCAAACGCATCTTCGCATGGTGTGGCAAAATCCCAGACAGGCCGATTTGCACTGAGTGATGAGCCCAGCAAAAGCCCGGACACCCGTTGTGTAAAAGCAATCCTGGCCTGTGGTTCATCAGCTTAGCGTGAGCCTGTGCCAGCCGCACCAGGCCTCGGTCTCTCCACTTGGGTGAATGCTTATGCAGCAGGTCAGGGCTGCATGGAAGCAAGTGACCGAAGCTTCCCCAACTCGTGTGTAACGTGTGGGCTCTGCGTATGGCAGAGTTGAAAGTTTGCCTTGAGTTATGTCGAGACCACGCGTTGCCTGGCTGAATCGCCTGATTTGCTCGGTCGGATCGCTTGTGCTGTGAATCCTTGTTGTGCAATGAGTAGACCTGTTGCGCCCAACGCACTGTCAGAAATGAGGTCCTGGCTCTCCAATGTCCGGGCTGTCACTCCTCCGCTACCACCGGTTGATAAGGAAGTGTTGCGTAGCTTCTGGAAATACCTGGCAGAATCATCAAGTTGCAAAGATAAATAAAGAAACAAGTAGAAACTCTATTTTTTGGCCAGACTTGAGTTGATCTACAAGTGACTGCAAGCCGAGAACAGCGCACGTTTGCAGCAATGTGGCAGATCCCGCTTCGTCATCCTGCAAGGTCTGCGGGACTGCACTTTTACATACTTTTGCATTATATTTCCTATCACCGATAAACCTGGGGCCCACTTGGGGTGAAAACGAAAGCTAGCTACCGCAAGCAAGCAAGCAAGCAAGCAAGCAAGGCAAGCAAGGCAAAGCAAGGCAAGCAGCCAAGTAAGCAAGCAAAGCAATCCAAGCAAGCAAAGCAAAGCAAAGCAAAACAAACCAAAGCAAAGCAAAGCAAGCAAAGCCAAGCCAAGCCAAGCCAGCAAGCAAGCAAGTGGAGAGGCCCGAAACAAGGAAATATATCCAATAATTCGAAGCCCAACTACTCCCTAATATATATATATATATACACCCTTCCAAACAATGGACTTGTGCAAAATCAGAAAATATGAAAACTGAGACAATAGGCTTATCTGAGGTAAATGAACACGCTATAACCAACTTTCTGGAAGTATGGAACGGCGCAGCAAAGGCCACAATGGCGCACAGGCGCATTTGTCTAGAAACCTCGAGAATCGACATTGGGTGAAAAGTGGAAAACAGAAAATGTGTTGAAAACAAACCCTTTTGGTGTCTTAAGAATTGATCGTGAACCATGATCGGATCAAAATACTTCCAGAACGGGAAAACTTTCCGGAGATGATTCTTTCCTTAAAGAGCTGCAGATAGAGTCACCAGGGCACCTGGGAAACTTTCCAAGAGTCAGGAAAAATCTTCTGCACTCGTTTCTGTGTAAAAGCAAAAAATGAGAAGAGCGTCTCTAAACGATGTTCACTCTGCACACCACTACTGGAAAATGCAGCGAACCCACTCTAGATTGAGTGGAATTGGAACCTGATTTCGGTCCTGTGTTCTGGGTGATTGTTTAGTTTTCTACAGGCGCGAGAGCTTGTGAGAGGAACCGAAACAAAAGCATCAACCTGTTTGGCGAAACACTAAGTAAACCTAAAACATGCGCAGGCGCATGGCCAGAAACCTCCACCAATATCTGGGATGTGTGATGAGCGTCTTGGTTAGCACATCATAGCATATCCCCGGCGCAAGGGAACACACGGAACAAACATTGCCTGCTGCTGTAGGTCGATAAAACAGTTCAAGAGTGAAAGCAAAAGAATGGAACAGTGCTCAGTGCTCAAGCTTTATCAAGCTCTGTCCAAGTTCAAGTGTCAAATTTCTGAAAAAAAGAAAACTAGAAGCAGGGACTGGCACACACACACATGATATCAAGCCAAAGGCCTAAGTCAAAGAGGGTTTCTGGGTAAACCAAATGTGTGCCATATAAAACATCTCAAGTCAAAGTTCCAAGGTTCCACGCAATCACTTGTCTGCTGAACGCACCAGCCCTTGACTGCAGCGTGGTCACCAGGGGTCGCGGCCGCAAGGCGCCCCAACTCTGCCAACTCATTTTGACCAGCTTCGTTGGCACGGGTGGGAATCACCCTGCCCCCCTGGCAAGATACAGCCAAGAGCTCCCACTGATCTACCCGCGCACGCTCCTGCACGCGCACGCGCGCCTGCACCTATCCTACAAGTTGGTTTACAAATCCTTGCGTTGCCGCTCTTCCCGAATGCACAGCAAAGGGTTCCCGTTTATCCCTGGGGGTCTGGGGGTAGAGCGGCGTTTTTTGGGTGACGTTGGCTTCCGATAAGGCCGTGCCATCAGGGGAAGATTTTGGAAGAGGTTTCGGATGGAGGGCTGAAATGTCAGATTCGTTTGAAATAGCGTGGAAACATAACACGTGGAAGTGTGGAGAACAACTTTTCTGCGCAGGTCCAGTGCAGGTGCAGCGCTTCGTGAGATACTTGGTTGCCTTCGCTGTGCCTTCGGGATTTGCGTTCGCAAGGTGGTCTGTTGGAGGTAGTGGATGTCGCTGTGACATTGGGATTTGGCTTCCAGGCTGTTGCCTCGAAGTGGCAACCTTGAGCCGTAACACGCCCCTTCTGAAACCTGGTTGCTTGTTTGCCAAGAGAGGAGCGATCATCACTGGACTTCTGATGCTGAATGCATGGTGCTAGAGGTCCCTCAAGAGGGAACCAAAGTGACACCCTGAGATACGATGTTGACGCTGCTACCAAATCGTGGGCCACTGTTCACACGCAGGCAGTTGCGGTTGCTAATAGCTTTTCAGTTTTTCTTCTTTACACAAGGTGGACATACCTCAGAAACATTCATTTGTTGTCTATGGCAAAGATTAAGTGCTGCGTGTGAATCACATCAGTTCATGACTACCCTACTAAGGCGAGGAAACGTATGCGTTTTCGTGACAAGCCTCACCTAAAAAAGCAGTTTTGGTGGATGTGTTTGTGCTCAGAAAGCGTCGAAACCATGCCAAGCGCGTGAAGACACAAAGAAGTAATGTAGTAGCGTGTCGTGGCAGGCGCAGTACTGTGCGTGGCCAGCGCAGGGAATCGTGAGGTTGCGACGTTTGCTGGGCGTGAATGTCGCTGGCACGTCGCGGATGTGGCTTTCAGGGGCTGGGGTTGCGAACCTCCTTGGCAGGACTGCTTGACGCTCTGACGAGGCTTCCCACTTCACTTTTTGGAGGATGTCTCGTGCAAAAATCTCATTTTGAAGACTTGGCGCGTGACTTTTGGACCGGCGGATGTCTTGCGCGATAAGCTCGTTTTGGAGACTTGACGCGCGAGCGCTGCACAGGACTGTCCCCCAAGAGTGCTTTGCAAGCGTCCCACAACAGTGTTCCACAAGAGTGAATGTCGCACAAGAGTTCTTCTGTCTCAGGAGAGTGTCCCACGAGAGTGCCCTAGAGTGTCCTGCGCAAGTGAGTGTCCTATAATGCAAAAGTGTCAAACAATGTTTGGCCACTTGTTTTTGAGCGCTTGCGTCCATTCTGGTCCGTGGAACACATCAAGTTCAATTCTCACCACTGGCCTCCTCGAGGTGTCGCTCTTTGGCCCAGGCCACGAAGTGGCGCAGTCTGCAAGTTTGCAACACGAAGCAAGCTCAAAAGTCTAGATGTTTCGACAAACTCATCCGCTCCTCGTGACTTTAAGGCTTACTAGCGGCCTAGCGATGCCTAGTGATTCGATAAATCATAGTAGACACGATGTGATGCCAAATATAGCATTTACATTGATAGCAACAGCACGATGATGTATCAGGATCCATGGCATCCAAACCAATGCAAGTGCTGCTAGCAGGAACACGGATTTTTTTTCGATTTGAAAGATCATTGAACCCCGTGCCTGCTGTGATTCCACTGCTGTGATTCACCTTGACATGTGAGGGAGTTGCTGCCTTAAATGGTTCCAACATTTTGACGCAATGAGTTGATCCTGAAAAAGTCCTTAATAGTTCAATTGGAAATGTGATGTTCTCATCGGTTGTCATTTTGTTGGAAAATTGTCACGTTTCCAAACATCCATGCGCACTGCCTTCTGGGAGGACTTTCTTGGACGAAGGCTCCTTGGCAAGCAAAAGTAGGTTGCCTTGGAACCCCTGTGTTCATCATCAGCACTTCAGCAAAAATTAATATATGTATATATATGGTGGTTGATCAATATTCTTTCATCCTGGAATGGCCATTCATCGCGGAAAAAAAGATATCTTTCGCGGATCTTTCGCGGCCTCATCGCGAAGCATGGTCCTACAACCATGTCTAGCTGCGAGTCTAGCTAACATGAGCCGGAACATGTCATAGTATCACAAAATAGGGAGACAATTGTGCCAAATAGAGTCAGGCACAACTCAACCCAATCCTCGTGTCAGCTGCCAACACAGGGTGATGCAGCATGGGGAATGCTGGGGGGCCTCAAGCTGGGAACCTAGACTTTAGCGGCACATTCGCGAAACTTTCGCGGATCTTTCGCGAAATTTCACTGCTGCTTTCCCCGGGAAGCCGTAAAATTTGCAAACATCTGCACAGCCCGTCAGAGCAGCTGCAGGTCGTTGCCTCACTGTCAGGGCTGTGCCTACCCAGATTGCTAGTCTGTGACAGTGGGGACAGGAATCGGAGAATCCTTTACGCACTGCCAGGGCTGGGCACGGAAATGTTGAGGCTTCAGTTCGTTAGTCTTTGACATATGGGGACACTTCCGCCCACTGGCTCTGCCGGAGGATTGCCTTGCGTTTCTATTCTTTGTCAGTTCGGTAGAAAGGAAAACAATGAAAGCGATGACCTTCGATAAATCTTTCGCGGAAAAAAAAGATACTTTCGCGAATCTCATCGCGAATCTTTCGCGGATGGTTCTAACAACATCTGAAAGGCTGTTTTATATAAAACTCCTTACACGGGGTTTTCGATCCACTCCCATATATATACATACCTGAGAAGGGAGGGTGCGAACTCCAGCCCTTCAAGCAGACCGCAAACATTGTCTTTCAACGTTTTTCTTTACAACCACTTGCGGGGACCTAGCTAGATCTCAGAAGGTAGCACTCCTTTGCTGGTGCCCTCTTTGTCTTCGTGACAAAAAGATCAAAACGGGGCACCACTACTGGACCACACATGCCCTTCAAGCAGGCCGCAAACAGCTAAGATAGCACTCCTTTGCTGGTGTTCTTTGTGTCTTCCCCAAAGCCATGCAGTGGTACTATGTTCACTGGTCTGACCTTGGGGGCTAAATCAAGAGAATTGGTCAAAGCAGGATTGAGCGATTGGTCGTTCACCTAGGTTCTCCTTCTCCTAGACTACCGCGAGTTACCCAAGTCAGGTTGGGGGTGCCCTTTTTAGCGTGAAAAGGTTCCAACACCGAAAAAAGGGCACCCCCTAGAACGGTGAATGCCCAAGGGAGTTGGAAGTGAGACCCTCTGCTTGTACAAACGGGTTGGGCTCAAGGAAGGAGAGTGTGGGCAGTCCCCAGCCCATCAGCCATATTCTCCAACTCACGCATAGCCACGAGCGACAGGCTGCTGCCCACTTATAAATGGTATCCGGTCATCCTGGCCACTTTGTGACTCTAATGGTGCACAATTCAACACTTTTTGCATCACTCGCATCTCCAACGCCCTTATAAACACACATCTTGCACACATTTTGACTACATTTGGCCACACGTTCTTTTTTCGCTCTTCCCCAGGCTCTGGGTTCACCCTCCCGAAAGGTGCCACTCCAGCCTAGCCTATCGGCTGGCTTTCGTAACATACACATGTGTGTCTTTATTGCATAAGCCTATATATATATAATTATATATATATATCTGTTATATACATGCTATAGTGTATATACGTGTGTGTGTGTGCGCATATACATTTGTGTATGGCATATCCATGTCCTTTGGAACCGTCGAAGTTTTCGGTTCGGTTGTGATCGTCTAATAAGACAGCCCCTCACCTTCTCACAAACATCACGCGCACCAAAGCTGGCAATTCTATATAGATCTATATAGCCAAACAAACGCTTATGTTGAGTGTGCAAGGACCGACTACAAGTACCATACAAAAAATTCAGAACGAAACACCAACCAGTAGTTTTACTGATTGTCACATGCAGCGAAGCACCCTGACGTGAAAATCGAGCCCAAGAGCCCCCCAGCGCAGCTCTCAATGATGAAGTCAGCCTTGTCCATGTCGCTCACACCCTGATTTTGCATCGGCTTCTGGAAAATCAGAGTGAACAAAAGCTTTTGCTGAATAGCTATCTTGGTAGATATTTGGGTCTAGCCATCGAAACCTGGCCCATCAAAATTTCAATGAAATCCACGAGGACCACCAAAAAGAAGCCATCAAACACCAAACCAACCGGCAATCAGACGCCACACAAGCCACCAACAAAAGCCACAGAAGCCACCAAAAACCACCACAAGCTACCAAAAAGCTAAGCCCGGAGCCAAAGACCACCACATGCAACCAAAAAATACAAAAAATATCAACCCAAAACATGCCCTCCGATTCAAAGTATAAGCTATGTATGCTCCCACAAGCTCAGCCCAAAAACATGACTAATGGATACCAATGGACGAAATCGATGGTAAATCTATACTTGTTGCAGGCTATAGGAACCTGTATACTTTATATTGGTGATGGTCCGGCCCCCCCTGCATTTTAACAGTCTAAGAAAAGAACCAGGGGGGCTTGCGGAAGTAAGAAACCACGAAAAAACAATGCTCCTGTGGAGCAGTGTCGTTGGACAGTCTCCCGCCATCATGAACCAAATGGTTTTGTCTGAGCACAGTATGAGCACAGGGTGCTTGATCACAAGCTGACGAAGAATCCACCCCGACAGTGGACCGGCCTTGCCACCTTCTGCAAACCTCATAGCACCGGAGTTGTGACGGAACGATTCATCAAACCGTGATTTGCGAGAGCAATGGGACTGTTCTGGGAAGCATAGTCTCATTGTCATTGGTAACAAAATGCAAACAAATATGAGTAGTCTCGAAGTACTTGAACTCACGAAGTTCCAAGCAACCAAAGAAAAAGAACTCGAAGGCCGCGATGCGTCCTTTCTTCAATGCCAAGTGAATGGCGAAGGTCGTCGCCGCTGGTGACTCAAGGGCCCTTCGGCCGGATTTGAGAATTGAAATTCGATTGCGGTGTGACTCGAATGTCATCTATCCGCTCTCATCATGAAATGCATTGCAAAATGGAAAACAAATCTCACATGTGCATTCGCAACATTGACACGCCCAAGGAAGTTTTCAAGGGCTGTCGAAGAAAATTCAAAAAGCGGGCTAGAGTCCTCTTCAACGAAGGACATCTAAATCACTCACATGGTACCAGGCACCATGTTCTCTCTCAGCCAGGCGTCTTGGTCGAGTGCCAGCAACAAACGTCATAGGAGTCTGGCAGGTTCGATCAGCCAGTTCACCGTTGTAGATTTGCTCACGAACACGGTCATTGCGTTCCAAGGCAATGATCTGATTTCTCTGACGAACGATGCGACGATTCACGTCAGCCAAAAACACCAGGTTGTCATTCCACATTCGGTGCCACTGACATACTTGCTCATCAGAAAATTGTGAGGTGTCCTGAGCTCGAAGCAATTCACTGAATTTCCTCCAGCGCTGCGTAGTGAAGCTCTCAGATTGCAACACGCACCTTGTCTGGGAGTCCAGACTGCTATCATGGTTTTCAAGTTCCCATAGAAGGCGACGATATGGGCCTTGTCCAGCCTCGTTTTGAACTCTCACCTTCATGCGACTCCAGCGATGCCATTCTTCATCTGGAAGATCCGACTCTGTGTTCGTAGTCGTGCTTCCTGAATCTATTCCAGGACGACGGGCCAAAGTCAGTGCATTTAGAATCACCTCATCGGCCTGAACAGCTGCGGAAACGACATGGCTAGGAGGATTGAGCGGGTTCTCAGTCACTGGGGCATTCGCAGAAGCTTGGTCATTCTCAACAACCTGCTCATTTTCATTCATCTCCTCTCTGAACAGGTTCGTCACCTTGTCATTTACAAAGCGGTAGGCCTTGTAAAAGATGGTTTCAATGCCAAAACGCAGAAACACGTTTTCAAGGCCGATCCATGCGAAGATCATGATGACCATGAAGGACATGAAGATTGGTAATCTCCATCCTTCAGCTTCAACAGATGTCAAAGCTCCTTCAGCAAGAGGCGCTTCGCTTGCCATCAAAATGGCTGCGGAAAACAAGGCTGCCTTCTTCCATTCGTCTTGATGACTATTTGAGCTGCGATGGGCATAAAAATGCCTTCTGCTGCAGTATTTGTTTCGAGGATCACTCTCGTTGCGGGGTTTGCAGCAACTTGGAAGTAAACAAAGACCTTGTTCATGCTTTTGCCACTCTTCTACTGCAAAAACTTGTTGTTCTTCCATTTCTTTTGAAAAAGCTTCATGGATTTCCCTCTCTTCTTTCTTGGCTTCCGAGGACACTTTCTTGGAGGCTGTGAAGTCGGGGTTGAACTTGAGTTGATGGGTGCCACGCTTCATGATGTAGGCCATGGAATCTCTGGAAGCCGGCTTTGTCAAGCCGTCAGAGATCTGTTGGTGTGAGTTCACCCACATCCATTTTCCCAACAAAGCGTTCATACGATCTCGCACAATGGCCACTTCGATCGCAGTTCTTTTCTCACTCAATTTCATGCTGGGAGACAAGGACTTGGCAGCATCAAACAAAGATTTTGCATCTGTCACAAGCGGGGATGGTCCAAGCTTTTTCAATGCTTCCGGACTTTCGATCGGCAAGGTGGGGTCGATCATGACAGAAACAAAAATCTTACACCATTCAAGCTCATCCACTGCAATGGCGGCTGCTTGAGCCTCTGAGGACAAGCTTGACCGACAAATACGTGCCAACTTGTGCGATTTCCAATAAAAGACATTGAGCGGCATCATGCTGCCGGATTCCAGCTCTTGGTGCGAACAAATGAAAACCAAAAGTCCACCTTGGCTCGATCCATCGGGTCTCACGGCCCAGGCAGCATCGGTATAGGCTCCAATGCACAACTCAGAAAAAGCACATGAACCACGCATGTACAGTTGGTGATCTTTTGAAACTTCTTTTGCAAAACGAAGCAGCTTGTTTGCTTGGTTCAAATCACCAACACATGGATTGCTTGCTGATGCTTGCAAAATGCTCACACTTGCACACAACTCCGGAAGGCTTTGATGAGCAGGCCATGCTAGCGCACCAATGAGGGCACGGAACTGTCGGTGTTCACGTTCATCGCATGGAGACTCCGTCATTGTTTTCCTGGATTTGTCCAATGAAATAGGTTTCACCTTCTGTACATAGTTCGCCAGACTCACCGAAATGGTTGAGTAGTCTAACGACTGTTGCAATTCAGCACCACAAAAGATGATCTTTGAGCCATTTCCAAAATCCCATGCACCAAAACGAAAACGCTGAGCCAAACGCAGGATGCGGTTGAGGAAACACTCTTCATTGGGACATTCCTTTTTCAAATCATGCTCACTGCAGAAACCTTCACCAGCACCAATGAAGTCGTCCACATGGAGTCCAAAAATGCCGTCAACAATGCTAGGGACCCCATTCCATTGGAACACTTCGAAAGCTGGATCAGATTCATATGCAGCTCGAATGCTGAGGTACACACAACGATCCAAAGGGTGTGGGATCATGCCAAGTTCCTCAGTCAAGCACCTATGAGCAGTTGCATTCCACTGTCTTGGAGCTCTGCAATCACCAAAAGCGGGCTTGGATGCACGCATGATTTGCCATGGTTTCAATCCAATCTTTCTCTCCAGGAGGCGTCGAATCTCAGCTGAGGGCTGTATGAACACTCGGGCTTCTTGTTCGATGTTGTCTGCTTGTTGAAAAGCAGTCTTCACATCAGCACTCCACAGCTTGAGCTGACGAACCACTGCAAAAAGATAAATGGAGCTGCGACCAACCATGGACAAAGTAGGAGCTTCCTTATCTACAGTGTCTTCGAGCACATCACGATGTTTGAATCCCTGTATGATGATTCGGGCGTTTGCTTTCTGCCCTTCTTTTGTTGGCTTCCAGCGCTGCAAAAATCTTGCTGGTACTGCTTCGCCTGGTTGGGCTTCGGAGGCATCTACTGGTCGCCATGCTTGATTCTCAAACCAGACATCCAAAGCCTTGTTGCGAGCTTCGGCGAACTCTTCTTTCTGCTCTTTGGTGAGGTTCTTCTCACTGAATGAAGTGGCCATGAAATTTTCGTCCAGCCAATCAACTTCCTCACCATACAGCATGTCATATTGACTTTTCAGCTGCTGATCATCTCGAGAAACAGGCGGGAGGCCATCAAGTTGACGTGCCTTGTTGTAGGACTCATACAGGTTTTCAAAGTCTTTGCGCCGAGAGTCATGAGGTGGAGGGCTTCTCGATCTGCCTCGGCCACTTGGGTCTTGGTTTTCTTTTGTTTCTACTTCAACTGCTTCAGCTTCTGCTGCTGCCGTGCTGGCTGCTGCTGTCTTGTGTTCTGCTGCTGCCGCAGTGTGCTGGGGTTCTGTTGTCACTTCTTCTTCGGCTTGAGGTTCTGACATTGGAACTGCCTCTGGTGGTACCAGAGGAGGAACTTCTGGACTCTCTGGTGGTACCAGAGGAGGTACAGAAGTGTCAGCCTTTGCATTCGAAAAGGTGGGATCCCCTGCAAGATCAAGAAAACGCACAGGACCCTGCACAGGGGTCAGAGCTTGTCGAACTCGATGAACCAAACTGTTCGAAACAGCTGTGTCAGGTTGCGTTTCCAGGCGATGAACTCTTTCTCGAGCCACCTCGGCACGAATATGCTCACTTGCAACACGCACCAAACTGGAGCCATGAGCAACCCAGTAAACAGAAGCTCGGATGCGGCCGTCATCGTTCTTGCGGGACTCTATGGCGCAGACCAATGCCGGGCCACGCCAGCGAGTGGGGTCAAGTTTGTTTTCCCCCTGTCTCCAGTAGTAGATCCAATCGCCAAGGCTGGCGGCCACATGTTCAGACCGTGGCCTGGCAAGAAGTGCACGTTTGAGCAGCTGGTTGTTGTTGGCTTCATAAAATGCTTTTGCTGCTGAATGCCGAAGTGCTTGATCTTTTTGGCGCTGTTCCGTGTCATCGAGCGGTTTGGACAAGTACGGTTCATCACAAAGACCGTTCGATTGAGGATTGTGTCCAAAAACGATTTGGTATGGTGAGCTACCATGCACTGAACGAAGACGGTTTCGTTGATGACAAGCAACTGGAACAGCTTCTTCAAGGAGTACATTCGGTTCATCTTGTTGCATCTTGAGCAGCTGCATTCTTCTCACAGCGTGGAGTCTTTCCACTGATCCCATTCTATAGTGAGCTTCTTTGGGCACGAGGATCAGCTTGATGTTGTTTTGGTCGAAGAAGTCCAGATACTTCTGACTCATGTGAGCTCCTGACTGGTCTGTTCGGAATCGTTCTGGAGGACCAAAAGTTTGAAGCCATTGTTCACGAAGTATCTTAAGTTCAGCTTCTTCAGTTTCTCTCTCCAACACAGCATTGATTTCGTACTTGGAGTAGATGTCGAGGATGGCCAAAACCTTTCGCTTTTCTCCATTCGAGCGGATGTGAAAAACATCGGCTTCCAAACATTCATTGAAGTGACTGGCCTGAGGCAGTGAAGCTGGTTTCTCCAATTTCCGTTGTGCCTGTTGCTCACATACTTCACACTTGTAGTCTTTGGCACATCGGATCAGAGACTCATCCATACCTGCATCTTTAAGCGTTTTGATCATCCGATCTACACCTGGATGTCCAAGTTGCTTGTGCAGTTTGCTGATGACCTGTAGGTTTTGCTTGCTGTGGGTCTTCATCAGCTTCTTCTCTTCCTCAGTGATTTTGAATGCATTCTTCACTTTGTTTTTCTCATCCTGCTCTTCAACCATATAGATCTTGGTTATCTCTCTTTGTCGCCATCGTTCTTCCATCTCCTGATAGATGGCATTTGCTGCTCTTTTCACGAAGCCTCTTTCGTAGTTTTGCATTTTCTTCAAGCTTTCTGCTTTTCCATCCATAGCAACATGCTCTCCAGGAAGACATTCACATGGAAGATCCAGTGCTTCAAAGACCATTTGGCTGTTTGTGCGAATCCTCGTAGGTTTCTTGACCTTTCCGACATAGTTTCCCATGCGATCATAGTAGCACAAACCGGTCCTGCATCGGTTGCAGATTGCATCATAACCATTCATGGACTCCAAGGTTTTCGTCTTCCATGACATAGCCAAATGGGGATGCTCCATGGCCATGCCGGCATTGATCTCCCAGTTGCAGATGTCGGTGACATCCAAAACCAGTTTCAAATGTTGCTTTTCTTCTTGCTTTTGCAATTCCAGGATCTAGGCTAGCTTTTCGGCCTTGATCATGTTGAGCCTTTGCATTGGTGACCATTTCGTACACGGTGGTGCACACCAGATAAAGTGAGGCTTTTGTTCTCTCACCAACTTGAGGAATGCTTTTCGGTCATTTTCTTTTTCAAAGTCCCAATGAGGTAGGCTGAAAGTAGCGACCTCACAGTCTGGAAAGCGTTTCAACAGTTCTGTAGCCAGGTTGCCTTCATCCACATAGACCTCAAAGAAGATCAATTTTCTTTCTTGTTGAAGGCGCTGCAAAACTTGTTGAGAAATCTCTTCAACTTCATTTGCTTCGGACTCCATGAGGATCTGCTCTGCAATGTCAGACGGTTCTGTCTCACAGGGCGGTTCAATTTCCAGTGGACTTGTCGTGATCAAAACCTCTTCTTCCATGATGTAGTTCATCTCTTGTTCGTCTTCATGATATTCCAACAAGTTCAAGACATAGTGGCCTTTTTGTCCACGACTTGGTTGAAACCATTCGGATTGAGCCACCTTCATGTTGCCACTGGCGTAGTCTTGTTTCACCCCCCATTGTTCCAGCATTGGTCTCGCCAACAGGAAGGGAGTGTGCCCAGGTACCACTGAAACCGTGATGGGCAGCTTTTGACCTTTCACCAAGGCGTTGAAGGAGATTTCGTAGTTGGATTCAAGCATCTCTCCGCCGCTGAACTTGAAGGATCGCTTTTGTGCCTGAGTACGGAAAGGTCCAAGTAGGCCTTCATCATAGTGCTCGACCCATTCTTTCCACACTTCTTCTCCGACCAGTGTTCTTGTTGCACCTGAATCCACAATTGCATGACCAGGAGCAAGGGTGGCAAAGAAGATGTCCTCTTGAAAGCATTCTTCCGCTAGTTCCTCCACCATGGTCACCTCTTCACCTCCAACTTCTTTGACACCTTGTACTTGCACTCGATATCGTTTGAACCTCGGTCCATGAGAAGAATTGGAACCGGTCAGGGTTGATCTCAACTCGGAGGAGGTCGTGGTCGACGATGATGGTGGCTTTCGAAGACCATGCATTGGGCGTCGAGGAAACATGCTTTTTCCTTTGCCTTTTCCTTTTCCTTTTCCTTTACTCTTTCCTTTGCCCTTTGAGCTTCCCTTTCTTTCGCTTTTGCCTCCTTTGCCATGGTCGAAGTCAGGACCAATGGCTACGACGGGGTAGAAGCCACGAGCCAGGGCAAGTTCCTTCATTCTTTTTCTTGATTCCAAGTAGGAAATGTAGGCTTCATCCATGTTTTCGTATGCCTCTTCAAGCTCCTCAGGGATTTCTTCTTCATCTTCTTCACCTTCATAGTAGATTTCATGCCAATCATCTTCTTCTTCTCCTTCGTAGTAGAACTCCTCATCATAGTCTTCCTCGTAGAAGAACTCGTCCTTGGATGACTTGGCCACAGGTCCAATGTCCTTGGTGTTTGGTTTGTGATCTCCACCAAACATTCGAAGCAAAGCTCGTTGGACCTCTTCATAGTCAAGCTCGCCTTTGCACAATGCTTTCACTTGCACGTGTGTCCATTTTGGAGTTCCACTTCGGGTCAACAAATGCCATCCAGCAAGAAGTGGTGGAATGTCGATCTTGACCTCTCGAAGTTTCTTCAAAGCAGTGCGGTGGCGAATGAGGTATGCCTGCATTTCTTCTCCCTTCTGACGATTGAAGCTTTGAAAGAACTCTTCGCACCGATATGGAACCTCAATTTGTTCTTCATATTGAAATAGCTGGTCCATCATGGTGAACAAAGGTGCGAACGGATTTGTTCCACTTGTGATTTCTTTCAAATCTATTTGTTCTGCTGCATCCCAAACAGTGTCCTTGAGGAGGCTGATGACCAAAAGAGCACCTTCAATCTCAGCGTCCGTTGAGCGTCGACGACACTGCAGGGCATACAATTCCAATCGTCTTCTGTAGCTGCGATAGCCACTTTGCGTTAGCCCCTCGGCCGATGGTGCGGCCTTTGCCAAGCCACTATCCAATCCACGATAGTTGTTGGATCCAGAGGAAGGAGTTCCTGGACTAGCTCCATTCGCTGCACGTGGAGGAGAAGGAGGTATGGGGACATCAACTGGTTGTTCACCTTCTGGTCTATCTCGCTGTCTTCTTTGCTGACCACTCATTTGTGACTGCCTTGCTGAACGTGATCTTTAAGATGAGCCAATTCTCACCGGCCAGGATTACCCTATAGGCGTCTTCAAACAAAAAGTTCACCCTGGTCAAATTCCGGGAGGATCGTCTTGGGCTCCGCTACCAATCTCGAAGTACTTGAACTCACGAAGTTCCAAGCAACCAAAGAAAAAGAACTCGAAGGCCGCGATGCGTCCTTTCTTCAATGCCAAGTGAATGGCGAAGGTCGTCGCCGCTGGTGACTCAAGGGCCCTTCGGCCGGATTTGAGAATTGAAATTCGATTGCGGTGTGACTCGAATGTCATCTATCCGCTCTCATCATGAAATGCATTGCAAAATGGAAAACAAATCTCACATGTGCATTCGCAACATTGACAAGTAGGTATGAGTCGTCAATAATCAACCGAATTGTTCCCCACCAATCTTTGCAGCCTTGGCACACCACCACCAGGTCAAATCGGCTCAGCAAAGGCGGAGGAAGACCAGAGTTCACAGCCACAGAGGACTTGGTGAAGGCACATCGATCCAAACAAAGCTATAATCAGTAGGCCACAAGCAATAACTTAGATACAAGTAGTATCAAGTGTTAGAATGTGATATCATGGCAAATTGGGCACCGGGCTTGAAGGTCATAAGTGGCACCTTGGCCCTTAGTTGTCTTCGATCCACGACCTTAGCGGACAGCAATGAGGAACTATTATTAAATTAATAGCTTCTTGTTACTACTACTAAGGCACTTGTCACTACTAGCGTGGCACTTGTTACTACTAGCAAAGGAATCTACCTGAGAGAAGTATTTTCAGACTTAGATCATCTTAGTTCGAAGTGTTCGTGGATGATAGTAGGATAGTGCCGGTCCTTCCTCTGAATAAAGCATACGTTTGGTAGATGCCCCGCACTCGGCACGAATTTACTCAGGCTCTCTTCGCTCTCTTGACCATTCTAGCTCGTCACCTCTCACACATGCTGGCCCACTTGCTCTCTGTGTCTCAGCCCACTTGTCGGGTCAATCTGTACAATGACCTCTCCAAACGCAAACTTGACCTGTCCAGCCAGCGCCATGCCCAGCACAAGCTCGAAAATGCCTTGGTGCATTGCTTTCTCTCAGGTTCTGAAAGACGCGCAGCCGAGCACATGCATAAACTTTCTAAAAAGGCTCTGCTTTCTGGCGTACACAGCCTGTTCAGGGGGAGCAAATGGATCCTCCACGTCTGAAGTTGGACTACTAGCAATCGACGGCGAATCAGACGCATCTGTCATCTCCTTGCACGACTTGGATAGGCTTATCCACTTCAAGCCAGCTTTTCCTTCGTTGCACCAACCAGCTTCAAATGGAAGTTGTAACCGGATGTGGTCCGCCGACTCTTGAATCTCCCCCATCAAATCTGCATGCGGGTCATACTGGAATGACATGCCCCGCCGCTGACAGTCGAGTACTTTCAGAATAATCTGCTGCCCTTCACCTCCAGTTGTTGTACCTGTGTACTCGTGATCCCACCTCTCGCCCGCCCAGTATGAGTCGTGTCCCGGGAAGCGCATCAGGGAGGTGATCTCGGTCTCCCGGATATTGATAGTGAACGTGTCGTCCTGGAAAGATGCCTGAACTCTTGCTGTGGTGTTGTCTCCAGCCGGTGCATTATCTCTGCGGGAAGCAAAGCTATAGATTCCCGATGGAAAAAAGGAAAACACCAGCATTAAGTGTTCTCCATCTGTAATGCCATAGTCCTTCAACACGCAGTCGTCAGGTAAGATACACAAACCATGGACAAGCTTCATTGCAGAGCACACGGGCACATTAACCAGCCCTGCTTCCACCATTTGGTCGCGAAGCCTGGCTTTCAGTGTCAGGGCTGTATCATTTTCTGCGACATTCACATCAAACTGTTGTCCGCTGGCACTTGCAACAGAAAGCCTCCCTTCAGCTTGCTCGGCCATGCGTTCTTAGCTGAAGAGATTCACGTAAATCAGCTACTGTACCGTTCTTCCAGGGGGCTTGAGCCTGTGTTTTGGACAGTTCTCCGGAGCTGGTAGTGGACAGACCACCAAAACCGGAAGAATGCATTGTCACCGTGCAGACCCCGGGTGAATCTTACATTTCCTGGTTCACGCATGTTTTTTCTATTGTTGGTGACACTAGCAAAGCATTTCAGTCCGAGCGACAATTTTGAGCAGCCACTACACTGCAACGAGAGCGCAAGCGGCACACCAAGCCTGCATGGAGTGCACAATCTGCGGCAATCCAGGTCAAAATCATTTCACACAAAGCCATTCTCCGCCAAAAGAACATTGAAGAGAAAGAAGGGTGACGTGGTTGAAAACATATTGTCCCACTGGACGATGAACATCTACAAGTTTTCTCTTATCTGCTTAGATGCTTGGAAAGCGAGCTAAATCTAGTTGATGTCGCCCAGGGAAGGCACCTTCAACCGAGTGCCAAACAAAGCACATGCACACGGTCCGTGTGGATGCTTCAGACCAAATTGCCACATGAACAGAAGAGGCTGCGCCAAGGTATGTCAAATCAGTGCCTTTCAAACTCTTGGTGTGACAAGCCCAGTTTGGACACCTTTCTTGATTGGACACACCAAGGAATACTTGCATGGGCAGGTGTCAAAAACACAGCATCCGCTGTAGATGAGATAGCTCCAAAGTGAAAACAGCGAGTGCGTAGAAACCAAAAACTATTAGCACTTCTGCATTGTCCTCACCTCCTAAAAGGAGAGTGGAAGCTCTCGGTCTGCCTGCTTTGGCCACTGACACCGTCTGCTGCTCCATGGCCTCAAACAACGACACAGGCTGACTGAGTGCTTAGCTCTCGTGAGACAAAGTGCTTCACTATGTCAAAAGGAACCTATTGGCAATGGCCTCCACCCTAGAAGCGATGGCCTCCAACCTAATAGCAAGCTGCACCAGCCTCGTGTACCGCTGCCTTGTCATGGCTGCGAATGGTGGAGAACTCCTTGGAGGACCATTCGGTCGCAGCGTTGAGACGTGGCAGGATTTGTCGCGGCATTTAAGGAAAGGGAAACGAGGAAGTGGACAGCTGTGCGGTGTTGATTTCTAATTACAAATTACCAATCATGTTACAAATCATGGTTGCAACATGTTGAAACAAATGTTGTAGAAAAGCAAAAGGCTGATCAGGATCCTTTTGACAAAGTACAACAAGTCGGCTTCTGTTGTGTCTGAAATTGGCCAAATTGATCAGGGGAAACTGATCCTTTTAAAGCTTTCATGGCTCGGATGGGAAAGGCACAATCTATCACAATCCTACAACACAACATATGGGGCTTGACCTGAGTGGGCCATTGCCTGTCAGATCTGCAGTTGTCTGATATTCAAGCGCGAACGCACCAGGAATCCAACAAAACGGCTGAGGCTCAGTGGCTGAGGACTTTGGGTCTTATGGAATTCAGGCCAGCTGTCATGTCTTGTTAGTCTTGTCCAGCCACCACACATATATTGAAACCTTGAAGTGTCTGGAAATAGAAACTCGATGAAACTTGTATACTGTAATACTTGGCCTTCTACAGTGGGAAGCTAACATGCAAATGGCTTTGTGACGCAATCAGAGTCTGGGTGGCCCGTTTGTGCCGAAGGGCATCGATGCAGCAAACCCCGCCGTCTGCAAGGACCAGTGCACCAGCCTGTGTGGAATTCATCACCCTGCAATACGACTGTTGATGCGATGAGGAGGAGCGGTCGTGTCCTTCTCACAAGCAGCAACTTCAAAACGAAACGGTGGTCAGCGTCTTTGAGTTGCTTTCACTATATACAAAGTCTGTGTGGCACAAACCACTCTTAGTTGACAACTGATATCGATGAAATGCCCTTTGTTGGAAACCACCTGCATCAGCTTCAAAGACTGTCCTTCAGGCTGTGCTAGAACAGTATGAATCACACAGTGTATCACAGTTGCACCTAGACCATTTCACAGTCCGACCGAAACCAAATGAGTCGGATGAGTGCGTTTTCCATGTGTTATTTTCTTGTCTCTTTTTCCCATGGTTTCCCATACACCTCCAGTGCCCAATCGGGACCATCACGCACAGCTGCGCAGGTGAGCCTCATTGGGTACTGCGTTTTCGTTGTGGTACTAGAAGACAAAACAGACGGTGAAAACTACAATGAACTATTTGTGGGTGATTGGGGGGGGCCAGTCCCACTAAGAACAAGTCCCACTAAGAACAAGAGTCTTTCCGCAACCGAAAAAGGAAAAACCAAGTCGGCCCAGCAAAAGCAAAAAGCAGGCAGTGAGGCACCTTTGCCTGTCGCGAATGCGGTCATCCGGATACCTTGAGGTAGTGAAAAAGTAAAAGGCGGCGAGCTGCACAACTTCCGACAGCAAGCGTTCCACATGCCCTTCACATCAAAGGAAAAAGTGTTGCTGTCGGCTCTTGTCTTTTCTTTTGTGTTCTTCATTCGTTCTTTGCGACGTTCTCGCTGGCCCCTTCGGATCCCAGCACGTCGCTCCTCTTCCTTGGCGTCTGCTGCCGTCTGGGTCAGGCAGACCTGACCTGACTTCTTCAGGTCTTCGAGGAGTGTGGCCATCATCTCTTTTGTGAGAGGGTCGGCCAATTGGCGCCAGGTTGGCGTCCATTTCAGGCCGATGATGCCATCCTCGATGAGCTGCTTCATCAACAGCATATCTAATGCTGCTTGCCTCTCAGTTGCCACCCCTCCGGTCTTATGGAGATGATCGTGCAATCCTTTTGCATCGGTCACCAAACAGCCGGAAGTCTTGAGCTCCCGGCGCCACTGGGAGGTCACCTCCGTCTTCCCATATAGGAAGGCATCCAGCAAAACCCGGCTGAACAGCTGCCGGTCTCCACAACTGCTCACGGCGCATCCCTCAGCCGCAAGCGAACTTCGAACCACACGCTTGATGCGGTTTGAGTGGAATTCGAGGACGCACATGGGGGTTGGTTGGCGAAATGCCGTGGTGCTGGTAAGGAGGTGGATTTCTCCTTGTTGGGCATGGGTGCTCTTGGATGTTCCAAGGGAGGCGTCGAAGAAACCGATCAGCAGCGGCTCCCCTGAAATGGCGGGGATCTTCATGGTGGCCTTGCCTTGGGCTGCACGTTCCTTCATGGACTCCTCGAGCTCCTTGTCGGCTCGTTCAAAGAGCTCAGCCTCAGACTCTCCGAACGCTTCATCAAGCACTCGCCAAAGGAGATGGAGGCCACCAGCTCCAGTGTATGAGGTCACTGGATGCTGTTCCACAACGTCTCGGGCCTCTCGACGTGTGCTGAGGTAGATCAGCATTGCCAACTCCTGAGACTCCAGGCCATACAAACACTGCTGTGCCTGGATGGTGCGCTTCCACTTCACATACCTGGAGCGTTCTCCCCAGTACTCTTCAATACGAACCGATCCAAGGGAACTCTTCGGCCTCTGGTAGCCGTCCCCTTCCTTCTTCATTCGTTGTCGCAGCATGGATCGGATTTCTGAAGTTTGTGCCGAGGAGCTGTCGTCCAGATCTTCATCTTCTGGTGTCTCTGGAGCACTCTGCTTGGTCTGAGGTCCCTGCACTGAAGCGGGTTTTGACCAGCTACCAGTCCCTGACGTGGCTGGTGGTCCCTGGATCGGCTGTTGTGCTGTCTGTGCTGTCAGGGGGCTGGATACTGGTGCTGACCAAGGCATAGTGGGATAGCCCATACACGGTGTTGGAGGCATGTGGTGTGCCGTGAACCCATTGGGTGGTACTCCGAGACATGCTCCAAACGGGGTAGTATGTGGTGCTACCATTCCTTGAGGCATCATCCATCCTGATCCCTGGCATGAGCACGGTCCCATGGGTGACATCATACCCTGTGGTGCTGTCGTTGGTGCCATGGTCATTGGGGCTGCCGTTGAAGAGGCCTGCAACAATCCTGGAGGCACACCTGGGATTGTCATAGGTGCCTCTGATGTGGCATGAGTTTGACCAGGCTGCACTGAAGCAGCTGAGGGGCCCAATGTCACAGGTTGTCCCGTTGGTCCCACTGGCGTGCTCGAACCCGTACCAGGCATGGGGGGAATGAGAGCCCATCTCTCCTCCTCCAGCCGGGTGCCATGGATCTTGTCCAGGCTCCTGCCACGGATCCTGGTCAGGCAGCGGCACGGCGGCCGCATCAGGCAGCGCTGGCTCAGCGCTCTCCAGGCCATCGCTCGGGATGGCGTCGGCCATTGGATGTGGATGCAGCAGGCAGCCTAGAAAACCTAGTTCCGCCCTCTAGCTCCGCTACCAATGTGGGTGATTGGGGGGGGCCAGTCCCACTAAGAACAAGAGTCTTTCCGCAACCGAAAAAGGAAAAACCAAGTCGGCCCAGCAAAAGCAAAAAGCAGGCAGTGAGGCACTTTTGCCTGTCGCGAATGCGGTCATCCGGATACCTTGAGGTAGTGAAAAAGTAAAAGGCGGCGAGCTGCAACTTCCGACAGCAAGCGTTCCACATGCCCTTCACACTATTCTTTTTTGCTGGGGGGTTAAGGCCGCAAGAATCCGCAGGAGGAAAGCTTAGAAGATCTTAGAAGTAAGCTAAGTCAGGTTGAAGACGTAAGCTACTAAGCGAACAAGAAGTCACGTCCAATCGGACGCAGGCTAGGGCTCACGCTTCTTCAAGGAAGCTCTCCCTTGAAGAAGCCTGAGCCTTAATGATTTGGTTCCTGGACGGTTTGTAAAACATTGTATAGAATGTTATTAGTAGCTTCTTGCTCCTAGTAGTAAGGCCAGGAGCTACTAGTAGCGTCCTTGCTCCTAGTAGCGATGCCCTTAGTTACTAATGAAAGCATCCAGGCCGATCCTTGAGGTTCCTCGCCCGGCACTTGTACATCCCAGTCCGCTGGTGCGGATGCTGCGGGTGCCCAGCTCTTGAGCTGCCTCGACTGCATTCACATGGCAAAAGCGCACGTTGTTGGCACTTTGTGATGTTTCAAGAAGAACTTTCCTGTTTTTACACGAGGATACACAGAGTCCAAAAGCCCAAGCACCACCTGCGAGGAAGACCTGCCTGCAACAGCTGCGATTTGCCAGTGCCCGGATCACCTAGCAATAGCAGGTGCGGCCTCGGCATGCACCAACATGGTGAGGAGGGGCGTTGCAATGAAAATGACACTGGAAATCAAATGAGGAAACTACTCCCGAGGCTATGGCTATCACGTCAGATATTGTGCAAGCCGCTTGTTACAAATAATATACTAGTTATATACTGTTATATATTTCGATAATATATAGTTACTGTATGCCATGTTATACCATTTTGCAGCACAACCACGACTTGTCCAGTTCAAGCGATGTGAAACGAACCCTTTTTGCGATTTTTGCGAATTCCAAGAACAGAGTGGACCAGTCCTTGGGGCAACCCGTTGTTATCTGGCAACCCCGGCGTCATCCGGCCCTGCAGCGCAGGCTTTGTCGCATTTGCCTCTCACTCAGGCCCTCACCGTGTGTTTGAAGCGCAGGGATTGGGCATGACACAGCCATTGTGCTATGAAAAGGGTTGAACACGAAGGTAAATAGCGTACGCATTCAATATAACAGTCTTTTGTTCAGATTATGATGGTAAAACCTCTTCACAGATATGTGTGGTTCATTCAGATCTCTCTCCACAGAAGCTTTCCCATGGCCACAGCTACATTGCCAACCAAATGAGGTACGCCCTTTAGTCCAAAGATGTGAAAAGCATGATCCTGCAGTCATCACCATCTGAAGCCCAATTGCTTCCACAGCCCATTTAAGGGCCCTGATCACAAGCCATTGTCACCGATCAACAAGAAAGGAGAAAAATAGAGAGCCTCGTAACGAGCCACCAGTAGCTTTCAGTCCATATAAAGGTCTTAGATCTTGGCCTTCTCTACCTTTAGCAGCAAGAAGGTGGTTCACTCGCAGTCCCCTGACTCCCCTACAGTCTTCCAACTCGACCCCTACACTCTTCCAACTCGACGAGCCTCTCCACCTTCCCTTGGCAAGCACCCGAGGGGTTGATGGGCATGGGAAAATGATCAAACATGATCGAAATCGTTAAGATCTTTAGATGCCTTTAGACTATGCCCACCCGATTGAGCCCCTGGCTTCGCATCATTTGCTCCCATGAACCTGGAAGAAGCTTGATACTTGGTGTAACCCCCAAACCATTCACTTGTCAGCTGCATTCATCCCCTACTGTAGAAAGTATTAGAACGTGCTCCCCCGAGTGATGGCTGTGTCTTTGGATAACGTTCGGAAGCGATGCAAACGGTGCAGCTTGTAGAATCAAATGTAGGCTACAAGTCACCATTGCAACAAGCCTCTACTTGGCTTATACACCTCCGCTATCCAGCCGGCCTGGCTTCCCGCGATAAAATGGATCATCAATCACGATTAAGCCCTACACATCTTTTTTAGACAATCCATCACAATCCCAAGATCCAAGTTACAATCCTGGATTCTCGCCAGGCTCTGAAAAACTCATCAATCCCAAGCTATCATCGCCATTAGTCAAATGGCAACCTAACCTCAAGATGCCACACATCATATGGCATGAGCCGGCCTACCCCAACGTGAGGTATTCTCAGCTACAGTCGAGTTGGCCTGGGACACCCGAGGATCAGTTGACCTGGAAAAATGACGGATTGAATGTGGTGCCAAACTGGTCTTCTGCGATGTGATTTACCCACTGTCAGCCATCAGGCTTCCTAGTGTTGACTCTGTCAAAAGACTACATTTTAATACCAAGGCAGATTTTTGCAGAATGGAGACTCAACTGGTTCATCGAACAAGGGATTTTCTTCAGAACCTGCACTTCCATAAGTTTGTGGCCAAGGACAGCGGGACACCAAAGCAAAGGGTCGGGGGCACTCTTCAAATCTGTGAAATACTCGAATTTGATCCCTGTCCGCTGGACATAGACCATAGCGCAAGAATGCCGAGTCAGCTCAGCTTCTTTTGTGGGCGTAGGAATGAACCTGCATAGGCCAGCAAGGCCTGTGCACTTGTGGCACCGATTCTTTGGCTGGTGCTTTCAACCCCCATGGTGAATGCAAATGCGAGAACTTGTGTTTTTGACACACTATCCATACATACATTGCGTTGAAGCAAAGAACTGGCGATACGCTGAATGTAAAATGTAAAGCTCTCGTTGAAGGGCGATGATCTCGCAAGTAACTTTGTTTGGGGGTCCTGTTGTGAAACGGTAGGATGTCAACAATCCAAAACCCTCAAAACAACTGCAAGTTCATGAACGAACCATCGACGATATCATACGCGTCTTTCTCATGGCGCAGCGCGGACTAGCTCAAGGCCTGGTTATTGGGCCGAACGGCCATGGGGACACAAGGTCAAGTCAACCTTCTCATGAACAAATGAGTCTTCAACTTCATCAGCCCCTCTATCTTTCATTGGCTTGACCTTGGTCTTCATTCGATGCCAGTGCTGATTGCCTTCAGCGAGCACGGCATCTTCAGCCTGGATCTGGAAATGGTTGGTTCTCAACAGATCCATCATCGGCTTCTCGTGGGCCTGAAAAAGCTTGGTCAACGAGTCCGAAGGGTTACAGTTGTGAGGAACCCACCGGACCCTTCCTTTCAAACGTGACAGGCTGTCACGAATGATCGCAGTTTCAAGCGCAGTGCGGTCGTCTGACCCTTGGCTTTGCTCGGTGGTGCTGGCGTCAAAGATGCTTTTGGCATCAACCACAGCAAACGAAAGGGGATCCGAAAACAGTGGATCTTCCGACGCCAAAACTGTTGCTGCGCCTTGCAAACCTCCAGTGTCGTCTTCTTCGGCTTGCTGGCGAACATCAAACCTAGAAAAACAAATGGATCGCCACATACTCACTTGCTTCTCCAGAGATCCCAGCGCAGTGCTAAGCGACACCGATTCGCACAGCATCGTTGAACCAGCTTTCCGCCGGAGTCGGCGGCTTTTCCAACCGATCAAAGAGATCGGAGCCAGCTTCCCAGCGTTCATCGCTGGAGTTGTGACTCCTTGGATCCAGCCGTGTTGTGGCTTCACGCGACCGGTCTGGTCAAATGCAGCATCTGAAATCACGATGTGCCTGATCTGTTCTTCGGGAATGCTATGCACTTTCAATGTGATGCGCTGTCCCTTCAACTTTGCAACCACGCGGTTGGTGTCCATGGCATCCTTGACGGTGGGGTTGGGAAAACATCCACTCAAAATGCTCGCTGCTGCAGCTCCATCTGGACGTCCTTCTCTCGACACCCAGTTGATCGAAGCGATGGTGCCCCGAAGCTGACTCTCCTCATCGGGTGTCAAGAAGGTTGTCGAGGCCGCTTTGATGGCGCAGGGTGCATGAGTCACAGGTTTCAACCGGCTAGCAACATAGTCGTTCATGGTGTGCTCAAAACTAAAGTCACCCAACTGGCGTAGCCGCCTGCCAACATACCCTGTACCATTCTTCTCGGCTTGAAGCTCAACTGCCTTGCCAAAACGAAGGGTGTTCTCAAGCCATGCCATGCGACGGAGGTGCTCTGAGTCTCCTGCTTCCAAGAGGTCGTCGATCTCGATCACAATGATTCCCCTGGTGGGAGCATTTGGAGCAGTGCTTTCAGAGTCCAATGTCAACACGCATCGGTCATACGGGTTGATGCGGTATTTGCCTTCTTTCACAAGCACTTCCAGAAGGCTTCGTCGCCACCATGCAGGACCTGAGACAAGGCCGTACACTTCTGTTTCCAGCAAGATGAGCTGTCGTGGATCAAGGCCAGGAAAAAGGCCGTCGGAGGGCATAGCGCAAGCCAACTTGTTCTTTCTGGTCGTCGGCTTCGACTGTAAGAACGCGGTTTTGGCGTCCTTCACCCTGGCAGCCCATTTGCGAGAAGCTGCAAGCTGCATGAAAAGGTACAAGCTTGAGGTCAAAGGTGTTGGAGCAGCACGTTCAATCTCATGGATGCGCGGATCAAGCCAACCAATCACACACCAGCGGCTCTTGGCACTGAGGCCTTCGTGAGTGCTCGGCTCAAAGTCAGGCTCGCCGAACTCCTCAGGCAAAACGGAGAACTTGCCGTCTCCTGAAGGCTTCCATCTGTCCACGTATCTGGACTTGAGGACGTGGTCCGGGAAGTTCTTGCGAAACTCTTCGCTCTCCTTGATGGACAGGATGGTGATCGCCTTGTTGGCAAGCAAACTGTCGATCTCTTTCTTTCGTGCTTGGTCGAAGATCGTCTTGTGCTCGGCAGAGAGGTCTGGATAGTTCACCTGTCCGGGAGCGAGCTTGGCTTTGGTCAAATAAATGCAGTGGTCAGAAAAACTATAGCTTCCTTCAGCATCTTGGATGGCAAAGGTCTGTGGCCCGAGTGGTGTCATGCCATCTTGACCTCGGCGATGATCTCGCCACCACATAGCGCCATCTGCGCCTCGAGTCCAAAGCACATGTCGCTTCCGCTCTCCCTCAAAGCTGACAACTTCAAGGAAAGAAGACGACTGTCTTGAAGGCGGTGCTGGAAGTGAAGGTGGTTGATTGTGGAACGGATATGGTGCTGCTCTGCTGGTAGAACTTGTCGTAGACGGTGGAGCTGGACCAAAGCGAGCGGTCAAAGTGCCGTGCTGGCCCTCATCCACCACAATGCTCTGCCTTCGACTTGGTAAAGCCGATGGAGGCATGCTAACCTCTGGAGTGACCGTGTTCCCAGCGGCAGTAGTGCTCTCAGCCTGCTCTTCATGGTCTTCAGCCATGGGTTGCAAATCTTCTTCTGGTGGTTCAGGAGGTGGTAGAGTTGGCGTGTACTCTTCATCATCGTCTTGAAGTTCCATAGGCTCAGGAGGTGGCCCACGTGGTTCTTCGGACGATTTCTTGGAGGTGTCCATGTCTAAGGTTTCCAAAGGTGTGAGCTGAGGCATGTCTTGGTCTTCCGGGTAAGCGTCCTCGGTCAGGTCGTGGTAGTGTCTGAGCTTGCCCTCTTTGATGTCTTGGATCATGGTGACCGAAAGTTCTTTGGCAAGTTCAGCTCCTAGGTGTTCTTCTGAGGTCGCTGGTCGAGTCTGTTCACGTGAGACCTTCAGCAATTGGTTGCGAAGAGACACCCATAGGGAGCGACCGTTGTTGGACACTGCAATGACATGGCCTGGTCCAGCCCAGCCCTTGAAGGTCGGCACCTCTCTCCAAATGAAGACCCAATCGCCAATCTCAAATGGTTTGCTGTCGGCTTGTCTGGTGGGCGTCCTCAAGGATCGCTTGACAGCATCCACGTCCTGGTTCTTCAGCCACGCAGCGGCGGCTGCATCTCTGACTTCCCAGCTGCGTTGGACTTCAGCCGTTGCGGAGTGCTGCAAGAGGATGGGGTCCAGGATGTCATCGCTTGCAAGAGAACCCGTCAGTCTTGGGTTGTAGCCGAAAGCTCTCTGGTAAGGTGAGAATCCAGAGCGGTGGTAGTAGCGGTTGCGTCCGACTTGGGTCTCGCGGACACACAGCATGAACTCCTCCTCCGTAATGGCCTGAGTTTCAGCTATCACTGCAGTCAGTTTGGCCTTGAACAGTCCTCCTGCTTTCTCCGTCTTGGCAGCTTGCCAAGGTGAGGCCGTGTCGGTCAGGTGGAGCAGGATGCCAAGGCTCGTGACGTAATCAGAGAAATTGGCACCGGTGTATTCCGTGCCCTGGTCCACTATCAGGACGGTGGGTGGACCGAATGGGACGATCCATGCTCTCATCAGCGCGTCCAGCATCTCAGACGCAGTCTTGGCAGCCACACGTTCAACGACCTGGAGTCCTGAACCCCAACACACAATGTTGGCGAGGATGTATTGGTGGTGCCGGAACTCGTAGAAGATCGTGTCCATGCCGATCACGTCGTTGAAGGCCAATGAACGACTGAGATGTCCTGGTCGAGGCCTTGTAGGCCGTTGTTGGCTGATGCAGATGGGGCAACGGAAACTCTTTGCATACTGCAAGACAGATTCTTTGGCTCCAGCATGCTTCAAGGCCCGGACGAAAGCTTGAGGTTCTGGATGTCCAAGGTTGCGGTGCAGGCGATACACCTCACGACGAAGATCTGCTGGCAATCGTGGATCTTGACTCTCTGATTTCCAGCCCATCTCCTTGGCTAGGTCTTGTAATTCATCACCTTCTGCAATGGGGTGTAGTTCACGAGCTGCTGCACGATGGACAGGGTCGTTTTCGTCCAGAAGCGACGGTCGGACATGCCGTTCCAGTCTTTTCACAAGCGAAGGAGCCGCCGGAGACGTAGTCGAAGAGGTCGAGTCCGGCGAAGAACGCAAAGAACCGGAAGCGGCAGAACGACGGCCGGCAGACTCAGCTGAACCATCTCCCCCCAAAATCTTGCTGGACGGAAATGCCTGGAAAGTGCAGAACAGGCGCCACTCTTGGAGAAAGAGGGTCTCGTCGGTGATGTAGTTCACAAAAACCTGAGCCATCGACTTGGCTAAGGAGGTGGCCTGAGAGTGTAGTTCGAGAGGTAGTGCAGGATCAGCAAGGTTTTGAGGCTCCTCAAAGGTCATCACATAGGCTGTGGAGGCCTGCAAATGATGATGTAGTGCTTTGAGAATGGCTTGCACGAAGGGAGTCGTGTACTTGGCAGCATCAGCTGCACGGCCATTGATGAGCCATTGATGCT